GTTCTTTCACTCACCACTTTGCAGTCACTTCTGCCCTCATTTTTGCCCCCAGCTAACCTGTGATCTATAGACAGACCCTCATTTTCTACTCAGGTACAAGTGGGAAATTTCAAGAAACCTAGGCTCATACAGTGTTTTGCCAGCAGTCTCTGCTAAGAAAGCTTGCCACTGTACTCACTTGAAAGGAAAAATGTTTAACAGTATCTCATTATTTATCATGGAGCATACATTGAAGGGCTCCTTCAGAGCTAAGAGGTAAAACATTCAATAAATGGCATATATGATGTATCCTGATAAGAAGCTGACAAACTATATGAGAGATCAAGTTTGAAACATTCCATTCAAAACTTACCGTGACAGTTTTTATAATTCTAGCCATTCCTGTGGGCCTGTAGTGGTATCTTATTATGTTTATAATTTGCATTTCTTTGATGGCCAATAATGCTAAGCATCTTTTCATATCTCTTTCGCCATTTGTCTAACTCATTTTCTGAAATGTCTGCTCAAATATTTTGCCCAACTTTTAGTTGGGTTGTCTTATGCTTGAGTTTTAAGAATTATATATATGGCCAGGAGCAGTGACTCACACCTGTAATCCCAGCAATTTGGGAGGCAGAGGCGGGCAAACTACAAGATCAGGAGTTTGAGACCAGCCTGGCCAACATAACGTCACCTGTTCTGCAACAGAACACTATTCAGTGTTTGAAACTCTGAAAACAAATTACACTGTGACTGAAGCTGCCCATCAGGAGTTGGCTCTAATCAGTTCCCTAAACAGGAAATTAGTCAGGCACAACTAAAACCATTTTATTTGAATGGCACATTGAAATTCACATGGTGAAACCCTGTCTCTACTAAAATACAAAAATTAGCTAGGCGTGGCAGCGTATGCCTGTAATTGCAACTATTCAGGAAGCTTAGGCAGGAGAATAGCTTGAACCCAGAAGGCGGAGTTTGTAGTGAGCTGAGATTGCACCATTGTACTTCAGCTTGGGTAACAGAATGAGATTCCATCTCAAAAAAAAAAAAAATAGATGTTCTGGATATACCAAAAGTATAGATATAATGTGCTTATTGGGTTTCAAAAATCATTTGGGTTTATCAACCACTTCTCAGAGAAAAAAAGATTATATATGTTGTGTGTGTGTATTTTATATATATGTATGTATATAAATATATAACACACACACACACCCATGTATGTTGCCCCAAATACAGAACCTGATTAATATGTATTTGCAGGAAATGAGGAAGCATGTGGTGAAGTGGATGTTGTTGTGCTGGACTGGGCTGAAGGAATGGCTGAGACATATAGGGCTGGCATGGGGAGATTTTAATGATATGGTACACTCATGTGTTATATAGGATTAAATATATTCACAGTAATACTTGCAGCCAGACCTAAAAGTCAACTGGGATCACTACTGGAAATCTGAACATAAAAATCACTTACAGCAAAAGCAAACCTTTTTGATGTAGTACTCTAGAAGGGATCAGAAAACTCAGAAAAGTGGGACTACTGAAATGGATTTCTTGTAAGCATTAAGGAAGCACCACCTGAACATGTTTCTCAGCAAGACCTTTTATTAGGCCAGTAAGAAACGGATGAAGATGACAATAGAATCTTTGAGAAGTTCAGTGGTAGCAATCCTTTGGAGGACAAGGTTTACAGTAGGAGATGCTTCTGTGGAACCAGACTTCTTAATATAAACTGGAGATGATGAGATCGCAGAAGGCCAGAAGCTAGATGTCAACACTTAATCCATATATGCAAGGTAGATGTGATCAACATAAAAGGCAGCAAGTTTGGAGTGAGAGTGAAGGTGTCTCGACACACAGGCTTATGTTGAAGAGCTATTAAGATTCATCAGGAAGGAGGGCATAAAAGATGTTGCTCAATTTGCAAAAAAAGAAATCAATTTTTGGCAAGCAGAAAATGATCATCAAAAGTTACAATAAAAATTGTTCTCCCTCACTGAGTTTCAGGCCCTAATTCTATACACTGACTCAGAGATCCTTGAGAAGGAAACTGTCCTGCTAACGTAACATGTTAAAAAATGCCTACAATTTTTTCCCCAAAGGGACCTGAGCCAGTTTTTAAGGCACCTGTGCCCTTGAGAATGAGAAATATTTTGATTTTTCAAAGACAGGACATATAGGATCTGAACCAAGATTAATACTATGGAATGCAATACTCCATCATGACCTTCTGATTAGAATTGTGCTAATAGAGGTCAGAGGATAAATGATTTTTTTTGGCCAAAATGTATAGTACACTGTTTTCAGTGGATCCATATACCCAGCCTGCAGTGAGTTGTCTGCTCTCCAAATGTATAATGTGCAGATATACTTGGTAACTTGGAAAATCCTTATTTAGGTTTGATGACCTGTGAAGTAAGATGCAACATTCTAAGAAAGCCAAATATAAGTACCCCTTGGATCTGGAATAATGTTTCCTATTCTGCAACAGAACACTATTCAATGTTTGAAACTCTGAAAACAAATTACCCTGTGACTGAAGCTGCCCATCATGTGACTGAAGCTGGCTCTAATCAGCTCCCCAAACAGAAAATTAGGCACAACTAAAACTATTTTATTTGAATGGCACATTTAAATTACTGACAGGGCAGATTCAAAAGACGTGAATTAAAAGGTGATCCAAATAGCCCTGTTACCTATATGTCTCACTAAAACTTTACTCTTCCTCAACTCACGTGCACCTGTTCAACAATCTTAACAAAAAAGCAGTAATTTGAACTCAGTTCAAATTATGTAACAAGACTGAATTCATTACTGTACCATTCAGTTGTATTAGTACCTGAGCAAAAATGACATTAGTGTAAAGAAATACAGTAAGCATAGCACAAAGCAATACATTCATTCAGTTCATATAGAGAGAGAAGTTCCTCATGTACAAATGTGCATGGACTTCTAAGCAGTGAAAACCACCTTGACCGGTGGGTAAGGAGCTAGAAATCAACTGAACCAGAGGACAAAAGACAGGGATGTGTGGATAAGAATTATGTGGCTGGAAAATGAAATTGAACAGAAAGCATACAAATAGTTTTGTGTAGCATTAATGTCCACAGAGAACATCCACTTCAGATGGAATTCTCCAAAGCTAAACAGACAGGATCACTGGTTCTGCGGATGCCAGTTACCCTCTCTTCTTGGCCATGCAAATGTTGGCTCAGTAGGGAAATGAACATATATGTCATTGTAGCAGAGAGGAGGCTATACATTAGTTTAACAGCCTGGGTTCCATCTTATCGAGGCTGATCTAGCTATAGCCACTGCCAGCAGTTGAAACAAAGGTTGAGCTCTAGACATGGCATAATTTTTTGAGAAGGCTTGTTATCTACTTGAAGATGTGATTCATCAGATCTTCTCCAACCTGGAGGGTGTAGCAATTCGCTCTGACTCAAAAGTGCTGCTTACTGCAAAATGACTTTTCCTCCTACCAGCAGCACCAACATGTGGCTTTTATAATTCATCTGTTGATATGTTATCCCATGCAATGTTGCCTCAGCCCAAAGGACAACTTCACAGCAAATAAAATATTTCAATAGGCCCAAATATTTTATCATGTGCCTTATATTTAAGAAACAGCAGGACTAATGATATGGCACAATGGTCTATTAAAGTTCATTTAGGGTGTCAGCTTAAGGACAGCAGTGTTTCAGGGTTAGGGTTTTATTCTTCAAGGCATGTTAAACATGCCGAAATACTAGCTAATATGTTATATATACTGTGTCCTCTATAGCGAGGATTCATAGGTTTGTAAATTAAGAAGTCAAAGTCAAAGTGGTCTTCTCTAGTAGTTGCTGCTGGTGTATATAATAAAGAGCCTGATTCCATTTTTAAATGTTTGATTCTTGTTAAAAGTTTTGTCCAGAAATGCCTGGAAGGCTATGCTCTATTTTTAGACTGTCCCCTCGCCGATGACTAAATGAAATAGGATTCAGAAGTCCAATCGCACTTCTTTCAAGTGAGACAATTTTGTGGTACCATAGGGTTCCTTATGGAGTCAGGCTGAGACTAGACCTAAGCTAAACACACATCTTTTCCCAGCTTCTTTCTTTGCTATACTCTTTTTCACTCCTTTACAGATTTTACATTAAGATTATACATTGAAACAGACTCTACAAACAGGATCCTAGAGTTAGTTCACGCTCTGGCCATGTAACAGTAAGGACCCCATTACTAGTGAAAGGTAAAATATTGATGATCCCTGGCATGACAAAGTACAATTGCTAAAATGCTCAGATTTAGTGAACTGGAAAGGGATGCACAGTTTGCTGCAGACACTTGAGAAGTAGAGGAGAAAGAACAATTATAAAGGCTGTGCCTACTGCTGAGCATCATTAATGCTTTCCATAGAGAAACACCTGACTCAGATGAACTGTTGTCCTATATAATGTTCTTTGCTAACATTCGAAGAGATTCTTATTTCCTAGAGCCAGATGGCAGGATGAACTGAATCTGGGGTGCATAATTAATTGCAAGAATGGCTGAATTAGGAAGTTAGATTTTCAGGCCAATGTTTTCCCTGATATTACAATTGATTTATATAGGTAGTGTCAAGAACCCTGAAAGCTCTGATTGATTATACTGAATTTCCTGGGTTTTTAGAAGTTTTCTACTCTGTTAGATGATAATAGCACCTGCTTTGATTGAAGACTAGACAGATACTTTACAGACAATGCTTTTCTCCCTTAGAATCTATGTCTCTCCCTTCTATTGGCCACTATCAAGCTGGCTAACAGTGCACTGGTTACTAACTTGTCTGATATCAGTGACAGAGAACATCCATGCGTGCAACAAGTTACGTAAACTGGATTTATGATTTATAGATAGGCAGCAAGAAACAACTGAAGCTTAAGATTCTTGTGAGCTGGTCCCCCAGGCGCATGTAAACTTCCCAGGGTGTCCCTACTTGATATATTTTACTTGCACCACTGCTGAGGAATTCCAAAATGCATCCCCCCCAGTTTACTTACCTCAGGAGAAACAAGACATGCTGGGTGAATGCACTTAAGGGCATACTGCTTCCAAGAGAGAGAAAATCAGCCCCGGGCTATTCTGACTAGTCCCTCCCCAGTCTCAGGATGTTGTATTCCCAGTACAGCCAAGTTGCTCTTGAAAACTACTAGCAAGAAAAAGGAGAGAATCTCTTGTTTCAGTCCAAGGATTAAGCCAACTGGAGAACTGTCCTGTAGCCACCAAACAAATAAATTCAGTCAAATCCAAGCAAGATTCAAGAAGGAAGCACCAAGATCGCTATGGGAGGAGAATAATTACATTCCAAAAGTCACTTCGGGTTATGGTTAACAAGTACTACGGGGAAAAAAAAAAGCCAGTTTGCCTAAAAATAGATCCTGAGGGTGCTACAAAAGGGAGATGTTTTAGTGCGGGAGAACTCTCCCTTGCTACAAGATTTAACATCGTTTTAAGGGCTTTGGGAGATAGTTCAAATGCCCTTTTCAAATGGCTGATGGAAGCTTGGAAAATGTTATTACTCTTATTAGATTAGATGCTAAAATTCTCATCATAAATGAGAATAAGGGTCAGAGAATTGGATACGCTAAAATGGATTTATTATGAAAAACCAAGACACCAGAAGTTGACAGTATTCTTCAGGAGGGCTGGGAGGTTTTTTGGCTTACCAAGTGATAAGGAGGGTGCTGATACAGGCAGAACCAACTATGTTGGAAAATCCAGCGGCCCTCGTCCTCTATAGCCAATTGAATGCAATTTCCGGCTCTTTTAAATTTCTGTAACATTTGATTACACATTGTTTATTTGACTTTTGATTTGTGTTGTGTTCCTTATTCTTCCGTTTCCACCTGTTTGGCTTTGCGCACCTATGACTATCCCTGTTACATAGTAACTATTAAACCCATCTTGGTCAATCTTTGAAACACAAAGTCAAATTACATCACCTGAAGAACTTAGTATATCGTCTTAAAAATGGTAGGCACTTCATAAATAATTGTGAGGCTAAACTGAGGTTACATTACCAAATTAATCTTCCTATGATATCAATACTATAACATTACTATCCTACACAATGTCTAAACAGTTTTCTATTAAGTTAGAGAATAAAATTAAACTCTTATGTTATAGTCAGAGCTTTACAACATCTGTTCCTAACTTCTACATCTGCTACCAAACATTATATCTAGTCTCACTGTTCAATTCTACTCTAAATTAACTTTGTACTTGAACCAATGAAACTTTTACTCTCTCCCCACTCGTTCTCTGCCCTTTCCCCTCTCCAATTTTGTGCATATTTCTATTTTACTTTCATAATCAGTAACTAGCCTTGAAAAATAGTCAAGCGGGAAATAATTAATAAAATATTTATTTTGTGCCACATACACAGTAAATTCTTTGTTGTGGCTCTACTCTGTGTGTGTGTGTGTGTGTGTGTGTGTATGTGTGTGTGTGTGTGTGTGTATGTTGCAAGGAGTTGGGAGGTAGATGGAAGGAGCTGATAATTCCTACAGCATTTCACTACTATACTCTTTCTCTTTATTCTTGTTCCTACTTGATTTCTTGAGAATGTTCTAATGAGACACCTGTCTCACTGTTGTGTCATTGGCTGAAAAATTCCAGAGGCACTTCTAAGAACATGCTCCATCTCCATCCCACTACCTGTGCTTCTGTTTCACTATACATTGTCAGTTTTTATCTGAGATGTATTGGGCTATGCAGTACTAATGTTCAACATGGAAATGGTTATTCAATTTATAATATAAAAAGAGAATTGTTTAAAATACATATCATTCTTGGAACAATTAGAAAAGAATTTTTCCTAGCCATCTTTAAAGACACCACGTGATGTAAGAAGAATGTCCCCAAACATTATTCTTAAAAAATAATCAGTGAGTTACCTAGAGTTGGTAATTTCAATCAAGATCAATATATCAGACTAATAACATTGCACCAAAGTATAGTTTAGAGTATGTAGCTCATTGGGGGCCCAGTGGATCGTATGGCAATTACCAGCTTTCTGCTCATCCTGTTCAATTATACTTGGTACTCACACTTTTGTTGTGTATTCCTTACCCTCCTCCCATATTACATAAGTATCTATTGCTGCCCATCTAATTGATATATTTAATTTCCAATAACATTTTTATAGTTGAGTTTGGTAAACGCTTTTACAATGATCTTTCTTCAAGATCGACTCCAATCATCCATCACAATTCAGCCAAAATCTAATTTCTTCAGCAACTTTTTTCTTCCAGGTGTATTAATCCATTTAAAATATATATATATAATTAGTATATACTATCTTAGGTACTAAAAATTTAGGGTAGCAATTATTTATTGTCTTCTGAATTTCATTAATTCAGTATGTTTTTCTCATTAAAATATTTTTATGCATGTCTGTATAAACATCTTTTTAAAATTATATTGTAAGCCTTTAAAGAGATAATATTAATAACATTATTTTGATAGATTAGGAAAAGGTATGCATTTCCTCAGAAACCAGCATATCACTAGCGAAACCTTCCTCCCAATTATTATGCCTTCGGTGTTTCAAACATTTTTATAAACACTTTAAAGACCCTGCTACTACTAGTACAACCAGTAGTAATAAAAATAGAGCATTAATAACACCTGCATTTAATACCTGCAAAGTGTCAGCACTATACTAAGAACTTTATATACATTATCTCATTTAATGTTTCAATAACTATTAGTTTACTAATCTTATTTTAATGCACCATTTTATAACTATGCCATATATATTATATAGATTTTATATAGATTTCATATATGAACACCAAAATCTATTTCTCCAATTAAGTATATATTTATAGTCCAGTTGAGTATATATTTTCTGTTTCAGTAACAAAGCTAAAATATACTACATATTTACCTACTTTCATGTATTTTTTTAAAATTTGGGCTGTAATAGACACCATAGAGAGCCGTCTTTTTTTCTTTCTCTTTTTCCTTCTTTTTTTTTTCATAACTTTTCTCTTCCTTTTCTTCTTGCTTTTGAAGAAAAACTCACATCATCTTATTACTCACAAAATAACTTACTGTAGTAAATTCTAAAAACGATATTCTACATCAGGATCATTTTTAATCATGGTCATTTGGGGCACTCTTTTCTATTCTATTTGGCATAATTATATTTGTACACTTTTTAATTTTTAAACTAATTTTATAACAAAAAATCCCTTTAAAATTTACATTATTATTGTTCAGATGCTACCTCCAAAAAAAAAAAAAAAATTCCCTACTTGCTTGGCAAGTTAGTTTGTACATATCCAATTTTAGATGTTGAGCATCAGCCAGTTTGAGAGGAGACTGAGATATTTACATGCATTAAAAATATTTTGCCAGATGTGCCCTGATTGACCAAAAAAGTAACATTTTATTTGGAGAAAATGTGATAGACTGTGCTCAAACTGTTAGAATTTTTACCCATACTTCAATGGTTGCTACTTATTATTTAACATGGAAGGGTAGCGTTATGAAGTTATTGCCTATAATTGACAGATTAAATATATAGAGAGCATGGGAATATTATCTGTATGTTAGAGACACATTTACATTCATAGAAAATTATCTGACAATAGTAACAGAAGGGAGTCTTAGATCCAGGCCATACTGATATAAAAGTTTATTTAACAAGAAAACAAATAAAGATAAGGAACTGAAATGAGAAGACTTTCCTAATGAGAAAAACATAACAGCCAATCTCAATTTTTTGCTGCCTACAATTTAATTTATTCTACTTAAATCTTTAAAATTAAAAGATAAATAATTCAGCGCAGTACATATCATCAGTGATTTCATCAAGTACACCAATTAGCAGACAGAATCTGAGAAAACATATGGATTAAAAGGCAGATCACACATTAAATGCAATCTTCTTATTCTTTTATTTAATACAATTAGTGAAGTAAGTGTAAGACAGAAAAATCACACCTTGCAGTAATACCTGGCTTAGAGTCAGCACTTTGCCCCTCTTAGGCTAGTTCATGTAAAATCAAGTCACAAGCCTCCAACGTTCAACTACTCCAAATGGGGAATTTCCCGCCACTGTACACAAGGGTTCCGATGTTGGGCCAGATATTTGATGCGAAGTGTTCTAATATGTTTAGAGGAAAAATAGTATAGAACATGATAATAAAAATACTAGTTAATGCATATAAAATCCTTCCTAGATCCAAAAAAAAATTCTGTGTACTTCAACAAATGCTCGCTCACTTAAGCCCTGTAACAAACATATGAGGTATTATCTCTTTTTTCCAGATCGGGGCAACTAAGTCATAGAGAGGCTGACATCATACAGAAATGTGACATCTAAGATCTGAACCCACGAAGGCAGACTTTGAAGTCTGCACTCTTAAGTTATGCAAAACACAACTGTAGTTGACTATAGTATTTTACGAAAACAACACTTCAAACAAATATCATTAATTTGTATGTTCAGATGTCATAGCAAGTATTAATTGTGTATTTTTCAGAGGTCTACTTATGTTACAAGGAGATAAGGCAAAATCATCTAACTTTCCTTGCTTGGTAATGGAGCTACATTCACATTTGGCTCTATTTTGTTAAATGTAATCAAGTTATGACCTACCCATGAGTACCTTTAAAACACACACACACACACACACACACACACACACACACACACACACATTAGATTTAGTGCTATCAAAATTATGTTTTGGATATTGATGTCACCTACGTTAAGTAAATTTAAAACTTAAACCTTGCCTGGGAAGTGGTCATATATTGTTGTAAAAACACTTCCAAAGGGTAGGAAAAAAGAAAGCCATGTCCAAAGAATTGTTTGAAGCTAGCATGTCTTGTATATCCAAACCAAAATAATACAGTACAAAAAAAGAATAAGTCAATCTCACTAGTAAATATAGATACAAAAGTTCTAAATAATTATTAGCAAACCACATCTAATAAAAGATAATACATCATGTTCTAGTTATCTTAGGAAAAAATATTCTTAGAAGAATGCGTGTGTGAATGTGTGTATGTATAATTTGTGTTATTAATAGAGAATCATTATGCAGAAAATTGTATTTCATTCATCACCCATTTATTACAAAAACTTTTAGCACACTAAAAATAGGCCGGACGTTCTTAACCTTCTTCAGGGCATATAATTAGAAGTTGCAGCAAATATCTTAAATAGGAAGAGGGAATAATAATAAAGAAATGTATTCATTTAATATGGCTGCTGTAAGAAATTCCTACAAACTAGATGGCTTAAAACAGTATACATTTA